GCTAGTCTCCAGTCTTCTGGCACTATTCCTGAAGACAATGACGACATAAAGATCAAAGCCAAAGGCTCTGCAATCTCCTCTCTAGCTTCCCAGAGAATCCTAGGATAAATCCCATCCGGCCCAGGGGACTTATCTATTTTCACACCTTCCAGAATTGCTAACACCTCCTCCTTATGAACCTCAATCTCGTCTAGTCTAATAGACTGTATCTCAGTATTCTCCTCGAGTACATTGTCTTTTTCCTGTGTGAATACTGACGAAAAATATTCATTTAGCACCTCTCCTATCTCTTCGGACTCCACGCACAACTTCCCACTACTGTCCTTGACCGGCCCCAATCTTACTCTAGTCATTCTTTTATTCCTGACATACCTATAGAAAGCTTTAGGGTTTTCCTTGATCCTACCTGCTAAAGACTTCTCATGTCCCCTCTTGGCTCTTCTTAGCTCTCTCTTTAGGTCCTTCCTGGCTAACTTGTAACTCTCAAGCACCCTAACTGAGCCTTCACGCCTCATCTCTACATAAGCCTCCTTCTTCCTCTTGACAAGAGATTCAACTTCTTTAGTAAACCACGGTTCCCTCGTTCGACCACTTCCTCCCTGCCTGACAGGTACATACTTCTCAAGAACACGCAGTAGCTGTTCCTTGAACAAGCTCCACATTTCAATTGTGCCCAGCCCCTGCAGTTTCCTTCTCCATCCTATGCATCCTAAATCTTGCCTCATCACCTCATAATTGCCTTTCCCACAGCTGTAACTCTTGCCCTGCGGTATATACCGATCCCTTTCCATCGCTAAAGTAAACGTAACCGAATTGTGGTCACTATCACCAAAGTGCTCACCTACCTCCAAATCTAACACCTGGCCTGGTTCATTACCCAGTACCAAATCCAATGAGGCCAACAAGAGGTGAGGCCAATCTACATACTGTGTCAGGAAACCCTCCTGCACACATTGGACAAAAACTGACCCATCTGAAGTACTCGAACTATAGCGTTTCCAGTCAATATTTGGAAAGTTAAAGTCCCCCATAACAACTACCCTGTTACTTTCGCTCCTATCCAGAATCATCTTTGCAATCTTTTCCTCTACATCTCTGAAAAGTTCCAGAGGCCTATAGAAAACTCCCAACAGGGTGACCTCTCCTTTCCCGGTTCTAACCTCAGCCCATACTACCTCAGGAGACGAGTTGTCATCAAACGTCCTTTCTGCCACCGTAATACTGTCCTTGACTAACAATGCCACACCTCCCCCTCTTTTACCACCTTCCCTGATCTTACTGAAACATCTAAACCCCGGAACCTGCAACAACCATTCCTGTCCCTGCTCTATCCATGTCTCCGAAATGGCCACAACATCGAAGTCCCAGGTACCAACCCATGCTGCAAGTTCAACCACCTTATTCTGGATGCTCCTGGCATTGAAGTAGACACACTTCAAACCACGTTCCTGCCTGCCGGTACACTCTTGCGACCTTGAAACCTTATTTATGACCTCACTACTCTCAACCTCCTGTACCCTGGAGCTACAATTCAGGTTCCCATCCCCCTGTTGAATTAGTTTAAACCCTCCCGAACAGCATTAGCAAATTTCCCCCCCAGGATATTGGTACCCCTCTGGTTCAGGTGTAGACCATCCCGTTTGTAGAGGTCCCACCTACACCAGAATGTGCCCCAATTATCCAGGATGGGCACAGGAATTAGGTTACCTGACCTTAATAATTAAAACCTTAATCATCTCCCACTTGTGCAGAAATTCAAAATCAAGGTCAATGTTCCTGAGGTCTGCACTGACTTAGTAGACTTGACTGGTCTCAAGACTAAAAAAAAAATGAGATGGTCAAAGCTGCTGAAGCAATAAATCAGACTATATCAGAAACATCCTTCCAGCTGCACTTTTTCAAATGCTGACAAGCTGCAAATGTTTCAGGTTCCAGAGTTACAATGGTTTATATATCATGATCGTTTAGAAGACAACTTGAAAACAAGCACCTACCTGGCAATCTGTTCATGTTGACACCTTGAGCAGAAAGGCCAATGCCCATGTACCTGTAACAACACAGCTCTTAATTTTTTTCCAGTCAATTAGATTTACATAATTATTTTGCTGCACAACATTTTTGACAAGAGGATAATTACATAAAACCCTGAGATGACCCCAATGCTTATAAATTTAATTTACAATATACTGCTACTGGCAGCCAATCTTGGCACCATACAATAGTATTAGTGCAACAAGCTGTGGAATCATTCCTCAAGAGGCATGCCACTAGAAGCTTGAGCGCCATGACAGCAAGCGAGAAAGCCATTATATTTTATAGCTAGCCATTTTCACATTCATAACGCTGTGGATTTTCCTTCACCAATTGGAAAGTTTGCATTCAAAAACTGAACTTTCAACTATGTATCTTTTCAGTTAATCTATTCACACCTAGAACAGATGCTCTCGTATCTATCAGTATCTAACTGAATGCAAAGACATGCACAACTGCCACTAGAGATGATATCGTTTGATGATTTTCTACACATACCAGTTTTTTTTTTTTATCAACTGTCTCTTATGGGACACTGACTTCTCTGGCTGGGCCAGCATTTATTGCCATCGAGAAGGTGGTGGTGAGCTGTCTTCTTGAACCATTGCAATCTATGTGCTGTGGGTTGACCCATAATGTCATAAGGTAGGAAATTCAAAAATTTGGTCCAACAACATTGAAGTAATGGCGATATATTTCCAAGTCAGGATGGTGAGTGGCTTAGTGGATACATAAAAGATGGCAGTGTCTCCATGTATCTGTTGCACTTGTCCTTCTAATTGGTAGGGGTTGTGGGTTTGGAAAGTGCTGTTTAAGGAGTCTTAAGGAATTTCTGCACTGCATCTTGTAAATGGTACATACTTTTGTGACTAAGTGTCGGTGATGGAGGAAATGAATGAATGTTTCTGGATGAGGTGCTGATCAAGGAGGCTGCTTTGTCCTGGATCAAGTCAAGCTTCGTGTTGTTGGACCTGCACTCATCTAGGCAAGTGAGGGGTGTTTCATCACACTCCCATGAGACCTACAGCACATGACAGCAGTGTGGGAGGAGAAGGAATGCACAGGACTACACATCAAGGACAAAAATGCAGTGGTCATAGAAGACTCAACATCAGAAAATAGAAGGTTTTTTGTAAAGTAATTTACAAACAAGTTCCACATGGTCTATTGCCTTCCTGGTACATGACACTATGGAAGGGATGCAGAACAGTTTAAAGGGAAATAAACAAGAGAGACAACTAGAAGTTATGGTCCACATGGGAATGAAAGACACAGGAAGAAAAGAGATCGAGGTCATGCTCAGTTGAAATTAAAGAGCGGGTCCAGACAGGAATAATTGTTGGATGACACCCAATTCTCATGATAAATAAACTGCATAATAACTTAGGGAATCTCCCTGAAAACAGAAAGTACCAAAGGAGATCTAATAGGAATGAGGAGCTGGGAGTAGGGGTATCGGTTAGCAGCTCTCACGGTGAACAGAGAACTCAGCAGTCTTTTTAAAAACAAAAATCATAAAAATAATAATGAAAAAAGGTCAAATCATTTGAGCCCCAAAAAGGAGGTCTACCCATGCAGCCACAAAACATGGTTGCTCTACTAAAAATGAATATTTTGCATCTTTTTCAAGAAGAGGATGCTGCCAATATCACAGAAAAAAGTGGTAACAGAGGAATTCGACAGGACAAAAACAAGGTGGTACTGAAAAGGGTGGAAATAACGCCAGAGGACTACAAATATTACATCACTGGTTAGAATACGGAGAAGGACAAAATCAGCAACTACAAGTTAGTCAGATTTATGTTAGTCATGGGGAAACTTGAAAAGACAGTAAGCCCAGATAGAGAAAGATAGCCATAAATATAAAAATAGATAGTAAGTGCTTCTATAAATATTTAGAAAGGATGTATTAACAAAGCAAACACTGGTCCTATACAGAGTGGGTCTAGGGAACAAATAATAGAAAATAAGGAGACTGTAGTGAATTGACTGTAGTATTTTGCATCAGTCTTCGCTGTAGAACATACAAGATAGATCCCAAATACAGCTGCAATTTAGGAACTTGAAAGGATAGAGAAATTAAAGAAAATTGCAACTAATGACACTGAGTAAATTGTTGGAGCTATGGACCGACAAGTCCCTGGGTCCTGATGAACTTCATCCTAAGGTCTTTAATGAAGTGACTAATGAGGGAATTAATGCATTGGCTCCAATATTCCAAAATTAGGTTCCTTAGAAGAGCACATTCTGGACCTGAGAAGAGGTTATATTAGACTTGACATTGTGCAACAAGATAGCATTAATGACCTCAGTGAAGTTAGAGGGAGGGGAGGCCAGATCCAAGACTAACATTTTAAACTTAAATAAGCGCAAGTATAAAGAGCACAAAAGCAGAGTTTGCTAAACTAAACTGACAAATTATACAATGGGATAGGTCAAAAAAGATATATTCAGAGAAGAAAGGTAAATTCCACAGGGACAATCTACAGCTAACTAAAAAGTTAGTGTTACACTTGAAGAAAAAGCATAGAATTATGCAAAGATGGATGGCAGGTCAGAATATTGGATAGGAGACAAAGATCAGCAAAGAATTACTAGAAGATTAATAAAGAGTGAAAATGAAGAGTATGAGAAAAAGTTGGTTAGAAATATAGAAACAGATAGTAAAATTGTTATACACATTTAAAAAAGGAAACAAAAAAAGGGAGCATTGGCCCTATGAACTGTAATTCCAAAGAATTAACAGTGGAAGTTAAGGATATGGAAGAATCTTAAAAGAAATGACTAGTGAGAAAGTTGAAATGTTCCAATTGTCTAAAACTGCCTAGATTTGGAGAGGTTGCAATAGATTGGAAAGTAATGAATGTGATTTTTAAAAAAAAAAAGGGAGACAGAAAGCAGGAACCTACAAGTCTGTTCATTTAACTCAGTGAAAGTGTTAGAAGCTATTATTAATGATGTTATAGCAAGGTATTTAGAAAAATTCATGGCAATCTGGTAAAGTCAACGTGGTTTTGTGAAAAGGAAATCATGCTTAACCAACTTAACGGAGTTCCTTCAGGAAGGGAATGCTGGATGGCTATAGAAAGAGGGGTTTTGGTTAAGAATAAGGAAGCAAGCACACGTCACACACAGACAGCAGGGATAAATTGAATCCCTAGAAGAGTATAAAGGCAGTAGGAGTATGCTCAAGAGGGAAACCAGGAGGGCAAAAAGGGGACACAAGACAGCTTTGGCAAATAGGGTTAAAGGAGAATCTAAAGGAATTCTACAAATAAATTAAGGACAAAAGGGTAACAAGGGAGAGAATAGGACCCCTTAAAGGTCAGCAAGACCATCTGTGTGTGGAACTGCAGGTGTTGGGGGAGATACTAAATGAGTACTTTGCATTAGTGTTTAGTCTGCAGAAAGATATGGAAGATAGAGAACATGGGGAAATAAACAGTGACATCTTGAAAAATGTCCATATTACAGAAGTGGTGGTCTAGATGTCTTAAAATGGGACCTGATCAGGTGTAACCTAGAATCAGTGGGAAGATAAGGAAGTGATTGCTGGGCCCCTTGCTGAGATATTTGTATCTCAGGCGAGATGCCAGAAGACTAGAGGTTGGTTAACGTGATGCCACTATTTAAGAAAAGGTGCTAAGGAAAAGCCAGGAAGCTACAGACCAGTCAGCCTGACATCAGTGGTGAGCAAGTTGCTGGAGGGAATCCAGAGGGACAGAACTTACATGTATTTGGAAAGGCAAGGGCTGATTAGGGATAGTCAACATGGCTTTGTGCATGGGAAATAGTGTCTCACTAATTTGATTGAGTTTTTTGAAGAAGTAATGAAGAGGGCTGATGAGGGCAGAGCGGTGGACATAATCTATATAGTCTTCAATAAGGCGTTTGACTAGGTTCCTCATGGTAGACTGGTTAGCAAGGTTAGATTATATGGAATACAGAGAAACCTAGCTATTTGGATACAGAACTGGCTCGAAGGTAGGAGACAGGTGGTCATGGAGGGTGGCTTTTCAGACTGGAGGCCTGTGACCAGCAGTGTGCCACAGGGATTGGTGCTATGTCCACTGCTTTTTGTCATTTATACAAATGATTTAGATGTGAACATAGGGGGTATGGGTAGTAAGTTTGCAGATGACACCAAATTGGAGGTGTAGTGGACAGTGAAGGAGGTTACCTCAGTACAACAGGATCTTGATCAGATGGGCCAATGCGCCAAGGAGTGGCAGATGGAGTTTAATTTAGATAAACGTGAGATACTGCATTTTGGAAAGGCAAATCAGGGCAGGGCTTATACACTTAATGTGAAGGTCCAGGGGAGCGCAGGTTCATAGTTCCTTGAAAGTGGAGTCCCAGGTAGATTGGATAGTGAAGAAGGTGCTGGGTTTGCATGCCTTTATTGGTCAGCGCATTGAGTATAGGAGTTGGGAAGTCATGTTGTGGCTGTACAGGATATTGGTTAGGCCACTTTTGGAATACTGCGTGCAGTTCTGGTCTCCCTGCTACAGGAAGGATGTTGTGAAACTTGAAAGGGTTCAGAAAAGATTTACAAGGACGTTGCCAGGATTAGCAAGTTTGAGGTATAAACAGAGGCTAAATAGGCTGGAGCTGTTTTCTCTGGAGCGTAGGAAGCCGAGCGGTGACCTTACAGAGGTTTATAAAATCATGAGGGGAATGGATTAGGTGATTAGCCAAGGTCTTTTCCTGGACTGGGGGAGCCCAAACCTAGAGGGCATAGGTTTAATGGTAAGTGAGAAAGATTTAAAAGGGACGTCAGGGGCAACTTTTTCACACAGAGGATGGTGTGTGTATGGAATGAGCTGCCAGAGGAAGTGTTGGAGGCTGGTACAATTACAATATTTAAAAAGGTATCAGGATGGGTATATGAATAGGAAGGGATTAGAGGGATATGGGCCAAGTGCTGGCAAATGGGACTGGATTAATTCAGGATCTCAAGTCGGCATGGACTGAAGGGTCTGTTTCCATGCTGTACAGCTCTGAGTCTAAGTAATA